ATGAAGAAGAACTTGAAGATACAGTAGAGAATGCAAAACCTTTGTTCGAAGAAGAAGTTAGAAAAATGCATGAAAAACAAATAGAACATGAACGTGAGATATGTTCTGGTTATAGAGACTCGCCATACGAACTAGACCAATGGGAACAAGAAGATTTAAAGAGAGAATTTAGAGAATATGAACTCGCTAAGATAGCATTAGAAGCTGCAGAAAAGAAGTTAAAAGTTTGGGGTCGTTTTGTACAAAAATATTTGTGAGTAAATGAACCATTTTTTTCGACAAAAATATAATTTAGGGTAGAAGGTTAGATCTAACCTCTTTTCTAACCTCTTTTCTACCCTCTTGAATTTTCATGAATTTTGGTCATTTTTCAGTAAAAATAATGTTTAGGGTAGAAGGTTAGATCTAACCTCTTTTCTAACCTCTTTTCTAACCTCTTGAATTTTCATGAATTTTCATGAATTTCATCGTAAATGTTTTGTCGAAACTTCTTCATCGTAATGAGCGTAAATGACCAAAAAATATAATTTAGGGTAGAAGGTTAGATCTAACCTCATTTCTAACCTCATTTCTACCCTCGTGAATTTTCATGAATTTTCCTTAAGAAAAATATATTTTAGTTTTTTATAAAATATTTTTTTATTTTTATTGTAAGAACATGTTAGCAACAACTTCACCAAACTCGTTAGTCATGAACCCAACTTCAATGTTGGTAGAAATGAAAAGCTTCATTCCTTCTTCATATACTTTCGAAACAGAAATCCAGAAGATAAAGCAAGAACTTCTCCAAGGAGATCTAAACTGTAGTGCGAAAGATGAAACAAATGGACAGTATCTTTATGAAATGCAGGATATTATTGACCATCTACCTAAACTTCCTGAAATCCAACAACAAAAGCTCACTATTCCTGAATTCGACGAAATTGAAGTCAGACCAACCGACTCAGTAGAAATAAAGAAGTTCATACGAAAGGTAAACTATGAGTTTCTAGGATTTCATTGCAACCATAAAGTTATGGACAAAGATTGCGATATGGTATATAAGAACATCTCTGATATATATAAATCTGGGGAGTTTAAGACCTACGACAACTTTGTTTCGTTAGTTGCTGAATGTGTATGGCAGATAAGAGATAAAGATAGAAGAGGTAAAATATGGAACGAACAAATAAAACCAGCAACTTTTGAGTTAAAGAAAACCATTGACGCCTTAGTTGTTTTAGCAGGTAAGGTTTCAGAATATAACGCAAAAATGAACCCGCAATGTTCTAAATGTAAAGCAGCAATGAGGAGATATAACTACTCCGTCAAAGAGATAGAAAGAATGAAGAAACGACTATGCAGACTTAAAGATAGAAGCAGAAAAGCCAGCAGAAGATAAAATGGACATGTTAGCATTTCTGAACAAAAACTATCCAACTGCTGACGATTTTCTTCTTTCAGATGTCAAGAAGAAGTATAAAGAAACCTTCGGCATTGTTAAAACATTCGATGTACTAAAAGAAGAAATAGAAGCTACAAAACTGTTTAGAGTCTCACGAATTCATAACGTTTACCATGTAAAACGCTTATAAAATAACTGGGGTAGAAAAGAGGTTAGAAAACAGGTTAGATCTAACCTTCTACCCTAAAATATATTTTTGCCGAGTAAAATGACCAAATTTCATTATATAACTGTTATTTTTGACGAAGAGAACTTTAACACTTCGTCAAAAAAATCCCTGAAATCATATCTTTTATACAAAATTCATGAGGGTAGAAAAGAGGTTAGAAAAGAGGTTAGATCTAACCTTCTACCCTAAAATATATTTTTGTCTGATTTACGCTCATGTTTGACAAAACATATACGAAGAAGTTTATTTCCTGTGTTGTTGTCAAAATGTCATGTTGTCACCATTTTCAAAAAGATGTTAGTTGACCGAGGGACCGAGGGACCTGGTGACACCTAAAAACCATCTACCCTAAAATATATTTTTGTCTGATTTACGCTCATGTTTGACAAAACATATACGAAGAAGTTATTTCCTGTGTTGTTGTCAAAATGTCATGTTGTCACCATTTTCAAAAAGATGTTAGTTGACCGAGGGACCGAGGGACCTGGTGACACCTAAAAACCATCTACCCTAAAATATATTTTTGCCGAAAAAAATGACCAAATTTCATGAATTTCCTCATATGTTTGCTACCCTCGGAAAACCGAGGATAGAGATTCCATACGAAAATCGTGAAAAAATGACCAAATTTCATTATATAACTGTTATTTTTTTACGAAGAGAACTTTTGCACTTCGTAAAAAAATCCCTGAAATCATGAATTTCCTTAAGATAGAAAAAATAAAGTTAGTTTTATTTTTTTTATTTTTTTTTATTTTGTATGTAAGAACAGTAAATGTTAAACATTGAGTTTGAAACAGTTAAAAAGATAGACAATGACACCAAAATGGTTAGAATAGGTGATTTAAACGTAAGATACTCAAAGAAATACAAGAAATATTCTTTGTCAGACATTATATCTCCATCTGGAAAGAAAACATCCCACGACTGGGTTAGAATTGCTTCTACTCAGAAAATTTTGACAAGAAATCCTGAGCTTATGATATCGGTAAGATTCTATGGAACTACAGCATATCTTATAGACAAAAGTCTTATACCAATAGTTTTGTTATGGTTAGACCCAGTTGTAGTTAGTATACAAGTCTTGGGTATGGTGGCACTGCGTTCCACTTTACCCAATACTTGTGAATTTGACACTTTACAAAACCGTTAACGTATATTTTACAACACAAACGACAACACTAACTTAACCTTAAATATTTACAAAGCCGCCAACCACTTCACTAACGAACTCACTAATGTAAAAAATAAACGTTCTCACTATCGTTCTCACTAACGACTTCACTAATGTTCTCATAAATTTTCCTCAATATCTTCATCATCAGTGTTAACCCTATTGTAGTCATACTTGAAGCCATAAACTTTCTCTAACTTCTTAACGTACAATTTACATAACTTACCTTCGTCATCGTATGGTTTAATGATATAACTATTTCTATCTTTATACACAGTCAATGAAAAGTCAACTGGTCTCGGATGTATTTGAAAGAACATGTTATGCTCAGGAAGGAAGAATAAATGTTTAAATGTATGTTTGTTATACTGTGGAATTCGAATGAGTTGCTTTTGTTCTGTCATTTACATCCAAATAAAAAATTTCAGTAACTTAAAAATAAATAAAAATTAATGATATCACCACCCGCACACGTATGAAAACATAGCACAAAAATAAATTTAGGGTAGAAGGTTAGATCTAACCCGATATCTAACCTCTTTTCTAACCTGTTGAATTCATTGCTTTATAACTCTCTTCCTTGGTTTCTTTTTAGTTGCTTTCTTCACGTCTGTCTCCAACTTGACTGTCTTTCTTCTTCGTCCGTAATGATACCAGTTACTTCCACCAGTCAATGGGTCAAATGGTCTTTCGTAAGGATTTCCATACATTCCATAGGGACCATACGGAAGAACTACTGGTGGAGAAGAAACATTTTCTTTAGTTCCATCGAATCTATTTAAATGCATTGTTTCACCTTTCATCTGGTCATTAAAGTCTTTTGCGTGTTTTGCAAACTCATCGTCCTTTCCTAAAGCATTTTCTGACTCAGTCGCAACCAAATTGGATGCTTTATTTATGAGCCCTATTTTATTTAATCTTAACTTCTTTGCAACCCAGCCTCCAATCTTCCCTTTATTTGCATCTAATGTCTTCGAAACCCTTCCTCCACTCATTTTATTTACTGCGTCATAAGCCCCAAGTGCTTTTGCTCCAAATGCTAATGCTTTTGTTCCCATTGCGCCTAAAGCTGTCCAAGCTACCATTTACACCATATTAAAATCATCTCTCTTCAATATTATCTCATAAAAGTTCTCGTTACTGGAGAAAGTCAATGAAACATAAACATTCTCATTCATAAACTTCTTTCTTATCTCATCTATACGCTTCAAAATGTCTGAACAATTGCTAACATCTTCTACAACAGTTATTTCATCATGAATGACCTTCAAGAACAAGCTCATTTAATATGCTATTAAAATCATCTCAATAATGAGTCCATCCTTTCCATCTTTAGGTAGCACAACATCTTTCATTGAAGAAGGTTCGACAAGTCTTATGTTAAACTTACTGACAAAGTTTGTTATACTATAATGCTTCGCGGCGAATACATGTAGTTTGAAAGACATAATATAGATTCTTCAGCAAATTCACTTATACTGGATTTTATAACAATGTTCTCACGAGACCAAATACCACCAATTGACAATCTTGTAAGCAATCCTGCTGAACCTTCTACTGTAAACGTCGATGGTAACATTCCACGAAGGTCATCTATTGACATCTTTGAGTCACTGAATTTAAATATTTTCTTAAAGCAATCGTCATTATCTAACCATGCAATAGCTTTGAAGTTTTCATTCGAATATACATCTGCTTCATTAAATGTAAAACCTGACTTCTTTGCAGAGACGACTTTAAAATCTATTGCATTTGTTTCAAAATTATATACTATGGTAACTTCTGAAGGTAATGGATGTCCTTCCGCAGTCAGTTGTTCTCTCACTACCGTTTGAAGCTTTGTGTTAAAAACTTTCATGTCATCTCCTGTGTCTAGGTTCACATACACAGCAACAGGAAAACTATCTTGCTTCTTTGTTTCATCATTATACCTCAAAACATTAAAGTTCTTCAATAATATTGTTCTTCCTGCTGGAATACTTCTAACTTGTCTTATTTCAATAGCTTTCTCACCTCCTACATACTCTACCCAGTGTCTTGGATATTCATAAGTATACTGACTTTCTTGAATTTTGGTAGGTTTCATCATAACGTGTTCATAGTATATCTTTATACTCTTGTCAGTTAGACTCGGTGCTATGTTCTGAATATTTCTGACTTGCATTTTTAATGAAGATAAAATGAAGCATTTAATACATGACGTAGATGAAGACATGAATGAAAGCAGTGAAAAGCTCAACAGTTCTCTCATTCTTCCTTTCAGTAAGGACTATGAGTTCTGTTCAAATGGTGTGTATTTCTATTGTGGAAAGATGGGTTCAGGTAAGACATTTAACCTCATTCGTCATATACTCATAACAGAGCGTTTAGGAAACGACTCTTACTATGACCAAATCATTATATCAGCAACTTCAGACTCTATGGATTCAACAGCGAAAACATTTATGTCAAAAGTTCAAGCCTCTGTCGTTAAAGTTCCAGATAGCGAACTCATTGAATTTCTTCAACGTTACATTCGACGTAAGAGAAAATATTATGCTATTGTAGAGTTCATACAGTCAGGAATGCAAAAGACTTCAGAAGAGATGGAAAGAATTATTGACAAACACCACTTACGTCAATACTCAGGAGTTTACGATATGAAACGACTGACAAACTACATTCTATCAAAACTTTCAAAATACCCCTTCAAAAAGTATCCTTCAAACACTCTGCTCGTTTGTGACGACTTCGCCGGAAAAGGTTTAGTGTCAAAAGCAGACTCACCATTAGCTAACATCATAACTAAAGTCAGACATTACCACTTAACTGTAGCAATACTTATGCAAACATGGCGTTTCCTTGCTTTAAACATAAAACGTCTCATAACTGACTTCGTTATCTTTCAAGGTTTCTCACGCTATGACATTGAACTCATTTGGAAACAGTCAGGTATAACATTACCTTTTGAAGAAATTTGGGAAGCATATAAGTCTCTCATCTCTCCTCGTTCATACCTTGAGATTCATATCATGACTAATACCATTAAAGTCAAAAACATTCCATGGGAACGACCAACATTGTTTTAAAGTTTAACCTTCAATTGACTGATGGTAAACAAATTCCATGCATCTCTGTCGCCATTTCTGTTGTTAATATTTTTGCTGTCATTCATATCATCCACTTCCCCATCCGTTAGCTTTTGAGGATATGTGTTAGAATAGCTGTTCTTAAATGAAGGCTTTTCACCTTTGAGAGCATAAACTCTATAACTTTCTGCATACTTTATGTTTGAACCTCCTGAGCCATCATTGACATAAATTTTTATAGGCTTCCACCCTTTGTTCATATTCCTGCTTCTTCCCTTAGCTCTTTTGTTCAGTAGTTCTACATCTTTATACACAGCTCCTGTCTCAGTGAATTCAACAATATTTTCATTCGTTAGCTTTACATTCAAACCCTTGTCGAGTATATTGTTCATTTCATACATATAAAAGGTTTTTATTCTATATGAAATGAGAAGCAAATCCATCTTAGCTGGTGCCGTTAATGTTCCAATTGAACCAACATCAAATGTTGACTCACGAACGACAAACAATATTGTCATAAAGAACTATAGTTCAGAGTGTTTGAAAGAAAAAGAACCAGAACTTAAGTCGGGAGGGCTCAAAGAGCCCATCTTGGCGCATGGCGCCGTGAATTTAAACTCAGCTTCAAACGCTAACGCTACATCAGATGTTAAGTTAGAGTATCCACCACTGGACCAAATTCTTTCAAGAGAAGCCAACGACAACCCTTACACAAATGTTCAAACAAATCCTTCAGATAACGTAGACCATTACCTTCTTCAGTTATACCAAACAATTTTACTCAAAGACGATAAGAAGCTTTTGACAAATCTTATAAGCAAGAACCAAATAATTCTAACAAAGGAGGACCTTGAAAATGTTATCTCACGAATAACAGGGAAACAATGTGTCATTGACTATCTCGACCCTGAAATCGAATGCTGTGGTCAAACTCCACTATTCATGAAAATAGGTAACATCCGCATCATTGAAACACCAGGAACTACAGGAGTTGAGTTTAAGTATAAATATTCGAACGAGTATACAAAACTATCTATATAAAGCTTTGCTTGAAATATGTTTTAGTAAATTAAAGCAGTCAGGAGGGCTCTTTGAGCCCATCTTGGCGCTTTGCGCCGTCAGTCAAAAAAATTCAAGTTAGCAATTTGTAATATCTGTCCAAAACTTCTTCAACAGTATCGAACTCATCTTCATAATGCAAACCTAATCTTATTGACTTGGTGCAGTTTTCACTAACACAATATAGCGCTTTGCGCTCGGCGCCTTTGACGCCTTTTTCTGTTCTCTTGACTGGCATAACTAACTCATTTGTTTCATCAAACAGCAACAACCAAAGTTCATGACCTAATACATAACATTCATACTTTATATTTTTAGCTCTGAGTTCTCTTGTAAGCTGTTGCATTTAATATTTTCTAAAAAGTCAACTTCAACAGTCATTCGCACTGGTGCCTTCAGTTCTACAGGCTCTCCTTGAAAGTCAACAAGTCTGAATTGCATGTCTTTCAAATTATGAGGACTAATGCGAACCCATTTACCTAAATGAGTTGCTATGACAGGAACGTTTGGAATGAACATTGAATTGACTGCATAACAGAAGGATTTATATTCTACTGAACCTTTACTATTAACTCCTGAAATACCTGTGACATTAGCTATTTTTGACTCAACGTACAAACAATTACCATAACATACGTATGGAACAGATTTCATCTCAATCGTTTTGTCAACACTTTTCAAAGGAAATGTCATATGGTATGCTCCCAGAAGAAGTTGTACTCTATGACTCATTCTTGGTATCTTGAACTCTTTCTT